CCCCCGCCCCGGGCCCCTGAATAAACAAGCCGGCGGCGGGCCCGGGGCGCGGAGCCCGCGCGGAGGGCCGCCTGACAGCGCCCGCATGGGCTGGCTTTCTGTTTTGTTTCCCCCCCTCTCCCCCTGCAGGGGCCGTTTGCGGGGTGGGGTGGGGGGTTCGCTATGTCGGATGACGATTCGAGGGCCAGCACCAGCTCCTCCTCATCTTCGTCCTCCAACCAGCAAACCGAGAAAGAAACAAACACCCCCAAGAAGAAGGAGAGTAAAGTCAGCATGAGCAAAAACTCCAAGCTCCTCTCCACCAGCGCCAAGAGGTACCCCATTCTTCTACCCACCTCCCCCCTGCATGCCTTCGGCCTGGCCAGCCACCCACCCCCACCCCCACCCCACTGAGGGTGGCTGACATGCTCCTCATACTTTGTGTGCTCCCAGGAACGAAAAGGGAGCCGTGGGAATCCTATTTTCTCGATTGCTGCTTTTGTTTTATAGTTTAGTGTTCGTCCACTTGGCTGTAGTTGTGACTTGTCTGGTCCAGGTCTTGCTGAAGTTTGTGCAAATCCTTATGTGGTGATACACCCCCCCATCTCCCCTCTCCCCATCAGATTACAGATTCAAGGTTGATTCCTAGGAATCAGGAATCTATGACCCTCCCCAAGGCTGACATCCCCCTAAATAATCAGAGATACCTTCCTAGACTGCTCTGGTGAAATGAATTCTGTGACCATCTTTCTTGCTTTTCACCTGTTGCCGGATGATCTCTTTTGAATAGAGCTCTCTTCACCAACTGCATTAGGAATAAGTAATTCACACCAGTGAGTCAAATATTTAGTAGGAGGCATTTTCTGATGGGATTTAAAAAGCTGTTTCTGATTTGGAGAGTGAAGGCAAATGAATGATTGCAAAATGGTTATTACAGTTGTTGTTGTTGTTGTGTGTGTGTGTGTGTTATGGGGTCTCTTGTTCTGTTTAAGAACTTGTGCTTGCCTGTGTTCAGATTTTTTTTTCTTCCATTTTGTTTTTCTTCTTCTCTTCCTCCTCCTTCTTCATCTTCGTCCTCCTTTTTGAGTTTGAACGTAGGGCCTTGTTATTTGCTTTATCGGTCACCTTTTGCTTGATGCCCCCACACCTTTTTATTCCGGTTATTAAAAAAAAATAAGGCCTTGTCTTTTTTGCCCCAGCTGACTTGGACCATGATCCTGTTATTTATACTTCCCTGTAACTGGGGTGACTAGAAATGGTGCCACTACCAACTTTTTGATTTGGTGGCCTTTACCAGAACCACAGCCCTACTCATCTAGGATTACCCACAGATGCCACTCTTGTTTGCTCTGAGGTAAAATGTTACTTCACTGTTGTTTTTTTTTCCCCCAACTAAATTCAAGCAGTAGCTTTTCCTTTTTTCTTTTCCTTTTCTCAGGAGGGAGCTACTTCTTACCTTTTTCATTCTCTTAGCCCCATGACCCTTCAAATAATCCATATTAGATTTCCAGGAACCCTAACCACCTTTGCATAAATTCTGTTCTCAGTCAGAGTGTTGTTAAACCTTAAAGAGACCAGCCAGGAAGATAGTAAAGCACCCAAATGGTGGGATAGGTAGGGTTCCATTCTGAAAAGAATTTAAAAGAAAACGAAACAGTAGGCTTTAGATCTCTCTGCTTTGGAGTTAGGAGTTTGAGACTGTCAGCTATCAAAGTCCACACTTTGATTTGAAATTGGAAAGGTTGGCAAACTGTTTTGGTCATAGAACCTTGGTTCATAATAGTGACTGTAGCTTTTTTTTCCTCCCCTGGTCCTGCTGCTTGAATTCTGGGCCTGGGAGCTGTCCCTGAGCCTCCTTGGGCTCAAGGTTAGTGCTCTACCATTTGAGCCTCTGTGCCACTTCTGGCTTTTTTTAGAGGTAAGAGTCTCATGGACTTTTCTGCCTGGGCTGGCTTTGAACTGCAATCCTCAGATCTCTACCTCCTGTATAGCTAGGATTACAGGTGTGAGCCACCAGTGTCTGGCCTTTTTTTTTTAAATAAATGTTTATACTGGGGTTTGAACTTAAGACCTTGCACTCTTGCTTGGTTTTTCCACTCTATGCTGGTGTTCTATCACTTGAGCCACACCTCCACTTTCAGCTTTTTGCTAGTTAATTGGAGATCAAATCTCTTGGATATATCTGCCCAGCTAGCTTCGAACTGTGATCTTCAGGCCTCAACCATCATCACTCAGCTGCTTTTAGCTTGTTTTAAATAGTGTGGAGGTCTTCAGACAAATAGCAGAGAGTCAGTTTGATTACGTATGAGCCTCTCAATAGTCTTAACTGTTCTTGGATATAGCCCTATGTGGTTTCCCCAAAAGCTGGCATTTACCCTGTCCACTCTGGATGGGCCCTTCCTTAACAGTCTGCCCTCCCCCAAACTTAGAAGCTCCCCGTCCTTACTCAGCTGTTGGCCTGCTCTGCCCCACTGCAGGCTCTTTGCATTAAGTCATTCGTATTTCTATATTTTGCTGGCTATCTCCCTGGTATGCCCAAATGCATCTCAGGAGAAAGGGATCAAGTCAAAAGTAATTTGCTTTTCATCAGTAAATTACTGATTTTTTTTCCTTAGACACAATTTGTCCATTTATCCTAAGGAAATTAAAAACTTACTTGGAAATGCCTGGGAAAGAGATGGTAGGTGTAGAAAATGAACGGTAGGAAGCCATGAATAGTAATTTTACCTATAAAATTAACATCATGGGTTTTTTTGGTTGTTGTTGTTGCTTCTGCTTTTTGGTGCAGTGAATTTTGATCCCTGAATGTCCTGCTTAAAGGGCAGCTGTTTGTGATAAAGGAATAAGGTGAATATTCAAAAGGCACAAAGTAGAGGCTAGTGTAGCCAGGCAGGTGTAAGGCTAAATTGATGTTAGTGGGATCCTGTAGAGGTGGATCCGTGAAGGCTACTGATTCCAGTGCTATTGCCCATAGTACTGGAGGGGACACATCTACCAGGAGATGGAAGGAAAAGGAAGTAAACCTGAGTTGGCAGACTGTCTGATTCTCAGTGTACATTGGAAAGCAGAGGGAGAGCCCCCAGGGAGAGTGGGCTGAAGTTGAAGAACTCTCCCCACTCTCCCCTTATACACACACACACACCTACCTGGGAGGTCCTCTTGCAACTCCTTAGCCAATTCTTTGGAAATGGTGCAATTGCAGTAGGTAAAGCACTGTGGTAATACAGTTTTTAGGCATTAAAGAAGTAGTAATGCCTCAGGAGGAAATGTTTGCCTGTGCATAGGTCCTAAGACACAGTACAAAACCATCCAAGAGATTCTTAATGAATCAGGAAACCAGGGTTCTAAACTCTTAGTCTAACATCCTATGAGTCTCAGAACAGAAATGCTTATTGGGTAGCAGTAGAACTGAGCAGGACGCTGCTGTCAATCACTGTCAGTAGAGATGGAACATACCCTATCTGAAAGCTGCCCAGATTTGTAGACCACAAGAAATGTCTTTCAATAGGAAAGTTTAAAGAACTTCCCCACCCATCCCACTTCATTTCTTTTTACTTAGAAGAGAAGGGCCTTTAACTTCTTTACATATAAGTGACCTACCCTGGGAAAACATTTGCAAAGAGAAAAACATGTCTTGTCACCCACATTGTTCTGGGTTTTACTACACTGTGCCACCTCGGTGAGGTTTTAAAGTTGTAACCCCATAGGGCTATGATAGGAGAACAGGTTTTTAAAAGTAGAAGGTGGAGTTTGCCCAATAATTGATGCTCTGAGCGCCTAGGTAAGCAGAAGACTAAGGCCTGGCTTGGTGTGAACTGCCAGCCAATGGCCTCTGGCCTCGGCCCAGGGGTGGGGGATGGGCTCTTTGTGAAGTGGGGGTGGCTGTGACCCACAGTGGGGTGGGAAGGGGCAGCAGGTGGAAGCTGGGGTGGGGGGGGACAGGGGAGAGGGTGCCGGGCCGGTGCAGGGCCTCTGAGCTGCAGAGGCAGAGGCCCAGTGGGCATCCCCGCCCCCTCCACCCGCAACTTCGTGCACAGGGCCCCTGGCCTGTGCCCCCCCCATCCCCAGCCCCGCAGGCTGCCAGACCCAGAGGGGGGAGCAGGGGCGGGGGGGGGGGGGTGGTGGGGTGGGGGAGGGAGGGAGGCCTCTCTGGCACACCTGGGCACGCCCGGGCCTGTGCCCCGCCCTTGCAGGTGGGAGGCCACAGTCCTCACCCACTAATGCCCCTGTGCTTGTCTCCCCCCTCCAGGATTCAGAAGGAACTGGCAGACATCACTTTAGACCCGCCGCCCAACTGCAGGTGAGCGCCCTGTGCCAGAGCCTTTTCTTTTGAATTCTTTATCCCCTTCTCCTCCCCCCCACCCCCAGAGTTTTCTTCCTGGCATTGTGCTTCTCTGGTCAATGCTTTTTTCGGTGGTCCTGACCTCGAGTTGCAGCTAGAATTTCTGATGATTCGAGTTTTTGTGGGATGGTTTGCTGAACCTCTGATGAGCGTTGAGCTGTGCTTTCCTGGCTCATGCCTACTCATGAGGCTGAGGTCTGCAGCTCAAGGCTGGAAGGCAGGCCTGGTAGGAAAGGCCCTGACACTCTTACTTCCAGTTAATCACCAAAATGCCTGAAGTGGAGCTGGGTGGCTCAAGTGGTGGTGGAGTGCTAACCTTGAGCAGACACTCAGAGACAGCATCCAGGCCCTGAGTTCAAGCCCCAGGTCTGGCATAAAAACATATAACTCTGTCACAGAGAATATTTGTTTGGAGTGGACCCATGTACGTGAAACAAAACGGCAAAGTCAATTTAAAGGAGCACCATTGTCCAGTGGACCATTGATACGTTATCTAAAGACAATGTAAAACCTGTTTGGTATTCAGATACATCTTGGTTTAGAGAAATGCTTTGCTGTAGTAATCTCTTATTCAAGCTCCATTGAGCTTGTAGAACATAGAATTAGATAAATCAAACATTGGATCCCCCAACTTATTCCATGTGTGTAATTTTGTATTGGACTTTTGGCACAGTGATTCAGGAAATAATTTGTGGCTTGATAAAAAAGGATTTTGTTTTAAATTATAGATTTAAAATCTTACAAGGTGGTATTTTTCCTTGATATTGCCTCATTCAGACTGTAAATATAGGTGTGTGTTTCACTTGCAACACAATTGGAAACCAGCTTTTAAAGTGTTTGTTGGTCATTGAACTTCATTTAAAATAGCATTTTGCTACTATTGAGTCAAGGTGGAAAGAAAATTTGATGACTTTACTATCTTATATGAAATAGCAATAATGAGACAAAGGACTTAAGACATGGAACCGTTTAAGGGAGACTCACTGTTCAGTTCTGTTAACTCTTACAGTTTCATAATTAAATACAGAGTTGGCACCATGGCTCCTGCCTATAACCCCAGCTGCCTGGGAGGTGGAGATGGGGAGGATCGAGGTTGCAGGCAAGCCAGCACAGAAGTTTCAGGAGACATCATCTCAATAGCTGGTGGAGGTGGTGTGTGCCTGTCATCCCATCCCCTATACATACCTATGTGGGCGTACCACATGCAGGCAAAAATGAATGACTGTTCAAAAAATGAGGCAAAAAAAGTACGAGGAGCATGGATCAAGTAGTGAGACTGGCTCCACAGGGTTACCAGATAAACACACACAAACATAATTAACTAAGCCTCTCAGGATTGGTATATGAGTTGCACGTGAGATTTCATCAGTGTTGTGAATTTATAAGTAGGAATAGAAATTAACAGAAAGTACCTAGTGACCCTATGCAAAATTTAAGGTGGATAGTGGACATGTTCAGATTGGAAGCTAATAAGATGTTTTGCTTATTGCCACTCAGTTTTCTGCTGTGATGAATGGATTAAATGCAAGCTTTTGTGTTTTTTTTGGACACATTTGTTCTTGGTGTTGATCAGTTGTGAAATGCTCTTTGGTGACAGTTTTGCCCTGTTTCTGTGAAGAAAGTCATTTTGAGTTTGAAATGCTCTTAAAGGTGTAGTTTGTAACTGAACCATTTAATCACTCTGGAGGAGTTTCTTCATAGCTTATCAGAATCTTCTCAGATGGTGGAAAAAGTGGAGAAATATTAACAGCTCCCTGGTTGTTTGTGTGGAATCCCCATGACAGATCTGTGCTGTGGAGTTACTACTCCTGTCGCGTTCCTGGCTGTCCTGCGTATCTCTTGTGAGCAGCTTTGGCTGCTCAAGTGATAATGCATAGTTTGAAAATGAATCATTTATTGAAACACATAGATGGCTTTCTTGTGAATAAGTACTGTCAAATTTAAAAATATAAACAATGGGAAGATTTTCATGGGATTAATCATTTTGTAACAACAGGATAAGTACACTTGAGTTTCCCATCATTTTAGCTAAGTTCATATCTGAGAGATTTTTTGTTTCTGATGCTTGTGGAATTTTCAATCTTTGGAAAGCCCTTCTAATTAATTAATTCTTCAAGGTGAAACCTTTGGGCAGTACCTGTGGTCTGGGAAGTTTCAGTTGGATGGCTCTTGGGTGGTTGGTGGTGGGAAGAACCCCCCCGCCCCCCATTCCCCCTCAGACTTAACGGTTTCGGGAAACTGTGATTTCAGAGCAGATATCAGGCATATTTATTTTGTAAGAGAATATATGTGGCATTGTTCTTCATAAATAATGACTGCTCTATTTTCTGTCCATAGGGGTCTTTTCAGTACTATAAACTAAATTTTCTACTTTTGAGTACCTTACTTGTGTTATCTTGGTGTCCTGATATTCAGCTCTCTTACTTGAACTTGGTTTTATGTTTTCTGCTAGTACACTTACAGGATTTAACTATTGAACATGCTAATGTACTTTATTGTTGGAGATGGAAATGGATAATTTTCCTTAGTCATACTTTCTGAAGTTAGCCTCAATTAAAATATATGAATTAAATGATATATTTAAGTCCTTGTGTTTTCAAAAAGTTTTTCATAAGTTAGCCTCAACATGAGAACTCAGAAGTGGTTCCTGTTGAAATTGTAATCCCACCAGTATTATTATTATTATTACTATTACTATTGTTATTTTGTCAGTTGTGGGGCTTGAACTCTGGGTCTGGGCACTGTCCCTCAGCTTTCAGCTCAAGGCAAGAGCTCTACCACTTCAGCCACAGCACCACTTCCAGTTTTCTCATGGTTAATTGGCGATAAGAGTCTCAGGGACTTTCCTGTCTAGGCTGGCTTTGAACTGTGATTCTCATATCTCAGCCTCCTGAGTATCTAGGATTACAGATGTGAGTAGCCTGCGCCCTGCTAATATTATTATATTTTGAATGAGACAAAGAATTGGTTTTCTACTCAGTGTATCTTAGAATATGTTTTTTTTACTGTTCCCAGAACTTTCTTTAGTTAGTGAACACTGCTTCCTTCTATCCAGTGATTGCTGATAGCCAATCAGTATTCATTGTATAGTTTTAAATTTAAGCACATTACTTAAAACATAGCCTGTGGCACATAGTATCTTTCCAGTACTCAGTTATTTTAAATCAGGAGAATTACTATTTGTTGTTGTTGTTGGTTGTGAGGCTTAAACTTGGCCTGGAAGCTGTCCCTGAGGTCTTCAGCTCAAAGCTAGTGGTCTACCACTTGAGCCATAGCACCACTTCCAGTTTTCTGGTAGTTAATTGGAGATATGAGTCTCATGGACTTTCCCACCTGGCCTGGCTTTGAACCATGATCCTCAGATCTCAGCCTCCTGAGTAGCTAGGATTACAGGTGTGAGCCACCAGTGCCTAGCAGAATTACTGCTCTTGAAGGATGATACATTGCTTGTGTTCACTAATGTTAACAAATGACAAAAAGTACTTAAATTTGAAGTTATTGAACTTCAAAACTTATATTATTCATCAGGTGTATTATATTGAGTAGATTTTTGTTAGGTCAAATGTAATGCAGATTATACTTAATGACCAGGACAAAAGTATTGTCAGGTTTTTTTTGTTTGTTTATGTTTATGTTTTGTTTTATTTTGATGTACTAGAGTTCAAACTCAGGGATTCAAGCTTGCAAGGCAGGTGCTGTATCACTGAGCCACACCTCCAGCCATTTTTGCACTGGTAAATTTTGAAATGGGAGTTCACTTTCTGCCTGGGCACATGCCTGGACCCCAATCCTCCTATCTTTGATTTCCTTACTGTAGCTGAGATGACAGGTGCATGCCACCACATCCATCTTCCCTCTGTTGAATGGGGACTTGAGGACTTTCTTGCTTAGGTTGGCTGAGATCTTCTAGATCTCAGCTTTCCTTGGAACTGAAGATGACAGTCTTGTGCTGTTGCATTCAGCTGTGGGTTGAGAAGGGATCTCTTGAACTTTCCTGCCCATAGTGGTATTGAACCTTGATCCTTTTCTTAGCTGCTTCCTAAACAGGTAGGATTATAGGCATGAGTCTGCATCACCTGGCTCAGATATTTTTATATTACTTTATATTGCTATATAAGTAAAAAAAAAATGTTTAGTATCTGAACTTTTAGGTATATGTATATATTGTCTCTGTGTATATACATATGAATGAATGAAATAGTCTTGCAACTCTATATATTTAGTTGGGCTTTTTTTCTACCATTTGGCTTTTTTCTTTTGGAAGATAATACCATCTTAACTGCTGTACTGATTTCCTAAAGCTTCTATCATGAATTGTCAAATTATAGCTGGTGAACTATGGGCCACAGCTCAAGCTTTGCTGAGCTGACTAGTTATAGCTATAAAACTAGACATAAATGTGTGTAGAATTGTATGTTTATCACAGTTGGCATATTTTACCCAAGTAAATCATTTAAACTTCAGATTTTATTTAGTGGATGCATTTGTAATAAGAGTAAACTACTCATGGTTTGTTTGTTGTTGTTGTTGTTTTTGCCAACCATGGGGCTTGAACTCCGGGCCTGGGCACTGTCTCTGAGTTTTTCAGCTTAAGGCAAGCGCTCTACCACTTGAGCCATAGCCTGCTTCCGGTTTTCTGGTAGTTAATTGGAGATAAGACTCTTGTGCATTTTCCTGCCCTGCCTGGCTTTGAACTGTGATCCTCAGATCTGAGCTTCTTTAGTAGCAGGGATTACAGGCGTGAGCCATACGAGCTTTGTTGAGATAGGTCATGCTTTGTAACTCAGTGTGGCCTTATACTTGTGACCCTCCTGCCTCAGTCTTTTGAGTAATGGGATTATAGTTGGAAACACCAGTATTTTTGGAAAATAACAAATGTGAGTGACAGAAAGGTTGAGAGATTACTTTGACCTGGGTATGAAGGGTGGTGTGGGAGCACTTAGTTAATCAGGCTCCAC